TATATATGTAATTCTTGGATTCTAATTTTCAAAAATTAATTGATCCCGAGCATTGCTCTATCTACGGGCCTAGTAAGTTCAGCCATTTTTCAAACAAATCATGATTGACCATTTATGCATCTCATCGAAAATTAGCCGATCAAATAATAGCCTCAGGATCTTCCTAAGGATTTGTGCGAGGCAAAATGACACCACTGACGACTTATAGCACAGACTCAAAACAAACAAGCAGCTGAACGTTAAACGTAGATTTTCGTGCATTGATATATATATATATATATATGTTTGCCGAGGAGAAGAATTCATCGTGGTCAGTGGAGTCCTCCTCCTTTTTTTATAAGAGGACTCCACTGACGGCGGTGGATTCTAAAAAATAAGTTTATTCCCTTCACTAAGATCCATCCTTAGTGAAGGGAATAAACCTGATCGAGACAAAGATGCAATCGATCGAACACAATGGGGGTAAGCGGTAGCTTAGGACTTGTGTAAACCAATCAATTGATGTATACTGGTCGACGGGCAAAATGTTTATCTCTTTTACAATCAATCAATTTTTTTAGTCGATTCGTATAAAAAAACTTGAAATTATAATTTGATTATCTGTCGACGATTTGAGCTGGCTAGATTTTAAAAATTAATGGTTGGTTGACTTGAAAGCATGTGCTACTTAAAGTTCATAATTTAGGCCCAAGGGTAATCAAAACGTATGCCAATAACAAGATCTACAGGATTTCATAAAGATCGCCCCAGGTGCAAGTCTCTTCGGAGGCAATAATCTAATCGGACAGGTTAAATGGGATATTTTCGTTGACCAACTAAGGTGACAGACTCGCTTATAAGATGAGCACACAATTAATTGGGTCGCAAGAGACTCGAAACAGGTTACGACAAGCAAACTGAACATGCTTTTTACATACGAAAAGGAATCACAAGTATATATTTCTTTTGAATTTTCAAAAAAAGAAAAAAATACAGGGTTTTCTTGACCCAGATTCTAATAGGTACCCAACCAATTTTTACAATAAGAACCTTGAATCTCTTCAAAAGATTCTTTAGGCTAATTTGAGATTAAGGTGGAGAACTCATCCGGGTTAGAGAATTTAGGTCAACAAGGCCATGGTTGTTGAATCTTTAAATAACAAAAGCTACCCCACATTCGTGTTGTTTCATCAAACCATCCATGTGTTCTCCCTTGGAAATAGATGAAGCAACCTTTTTCTTAAAATCCACGATCTCTTTCTTCAAGGCTTCTATTGTGTCAAGGGATTCTTGATTAGCCTTGATAGAGTTGTCTAATTTGAGTTCAATGAGGTTTTGGTCGTCCCTAACTCTCCTCAACTCCGCCATCTGAGAAGTAATTTTACTTTGAGCCTTGTCCAAAGTTCTTTTCAACCCAACTAGAGCCAACCCCTAAAAATGAGTGGCCTACACCACCATCAAGTGATATCGATCCACATTTTGTCAAAGCTCCCGGTTGCCGAAGCCTTCCAACACAGTGTCAAGCTCTTCAAACCATAACAACTCCAGTAGGAGCAATGAAAGCCTCTTATTATTGGCCGACAGATTCTCTCGACATGTCCAGAAGACTGACCCGCTTGTCGGTGCCAACCCACATCTACCCAACTCCCCCACGTACGGGCTGCCACTCAAAAGCATCCCTGCTCCTATTCAACAAAGGAGGATGAGGGACGCCTGCTTCTTTCCTTGCCGATGCCCCCCC